GGATCAAATACTTTTTTCCCTCACTGAAGATAAAGGTTAAGGTAACCTGTCAGAAGTATCGTGGCACAAGGGCTGTCATGAATACAGGACACCCTAATACCAGGGAGGTGTGTGTGTGAAGCTAAGATGATGACAATAGGAATTACAACATGGCCCTCATATCAAAATCCTCATTAAGTCTTAACAGCTGTAGGGTGCCTAAAGTATGAATCCAGAAGAGTTTTCTCTGGCAGAGTTTATGGTCGTTAACGCCTCTTGGTGACACTTCCACCTTCTTAATGCTCTGGAATTGTAGAGAAGACACACTGTGAGAGCATTGGACAAAGTGATGAGCAACAGGGTAATTTCCATCCTTGCATCTTATAGAACTCTTCTGTTAGCGTAGGATGTAAATCACATATTTTGTGTTGCATGTGATCATGCCTTTAACACTATCTTTTTCCAGACCTAGGGTGTCGGAACTCTGAGTTTTATTTGGTGTTGCTCTCAGGGGAGTAAGAAGGGTTTGTTTAGAATCCGTGTTGACGCTGGCTAGGACTAGTATACTGCGAATATTGAAGCCCCGTTTGTTAGTCTTTTTTTGTACTAAAAACTTTTGGGGGCTTAAAAAATAAATACCCGCGGGCCACCTGTTGCCGACCCTTGTCATAAACAGTATTCCAAGTTGACGTATCTATAACAGGGTTCGTAGCATAACAGGATTTAAAGGTCCTGGGTTCACCTACTGGAGGGGATATTTTGACCATTCTCTGTCGTATAGTTTTTGTCACCCCTTTCCAGACACACACACACACACCAGCATGCACGCACGGTGTGTGCTTATTTTCATTTATTAGGTTTCTCTCTTAAAAGAGCCTTTGGGGGTTCGTTGGGCATCGTTGAGTGGCAAGGGACAGGGAGTGTGACGTGTACTGGTACGGAGGAGAGAACGGTGGAGAGACCAGCTCTCAAACTCTCAAATAATTTTTGATTGCAAATGTTATTACAAAATATAACTCACTATTGTTTACATGTAATGTAGTACTAATGTTGATTATTTTGTGTATTTTCCTGGTGCTTTTTCGATTTGTCTTGTTAAAAGAGATCAGGCAACATTTTTCCCGTTTACTCCTCCATATTGGCTTAAATGGGTTTCTGGTTTTTCTCTTCCCTCTGGAAAATCAGCTTTTACTATTAAATAATTACTAATAACTACATTATTTATTGTTAAGTTGCGTCTATTCAAATCTGGTATAGGAACAAAAAGAGGTCAATACACGTCTTCTAAAATAGACTAGTATTTTAATTAATGCAAACACTTGAATTGGTAAATATGATGTTCGTATATACGGGCCCACTGAAAAACCACGCAGGGCAGACAGAGAACTGAGCCATTGTTATAAGTTCTTCTTTAAATACTCTGACAGAGAGAGTTCCCGCTCCCTGCTGGCCTATCAGAGTAGAGGCTGGGCGTGGTTTAAGCTTACCCAGCCTATCGCTGGCGCACAGGCTGGTCCCAGTCCCTTGGCGCTTCACTGTTGCCAGGCATTAGTTGTTATCTTTACAACTTGTCTCGAGTCAGCAACCTCAGACATCTTTGTAGCAGAACACATGTCCTTGAGCGGTTTAACAAAGAGGCAGTGTATGTGAGTCACAAGTCTGTCTCAGCCTACCCCCTAACAGTTCCCCACATTAATCACAGCTTGTTATATTAAACAATCTATATCAGTACAGTACAAACCTATTATGTTTAATCATTAATGTATTCTTTCTAAGCTAGGCATCACATCTAGTTATAAGAAAATAGATCCCCACATTATCTTGCCATTTGTCATGATTGTGTACTTTTAATTTACTTTTATTGCTTTGTTTTGCTGTATTATAATGTTGTATAATCACCTTCCTGTGTAAAAACCATGGAAATTAAAAACCGTTTTAAGTGAGAGGTAGGCATTGATCTGAAGTCGAAAAATAAAGGAAACTCACATGAGCACCACAATGTGTACTTCCGTCTTGCTCTACCAAGTTTTTCCAATTCACAACTTTGACCTACTACAGTAGCTATGTTGGTCTATTGTACTTCCAACAATGTTTAGGCAGGTTGCTTAGGATTTAAACCTTCTCAAACAGCCTAATTCATACTCTTCAGAGGGATAATGGACTTTAGTGTCCTGCTATTAAAGTAATGTATACAGTGCATTCGGAAAGTATTCAGATCCATTCCCCTTTTCAACATTTTGTTACATTACAGCCTTATTCTAAAATGGATTGATCAGCCTTGAGATGTTTCTACAACTTGGAGTCCACCTGTGGTAAATTCAATTGATTGGACATGATTTGGAAAGGCACACACCTGTCTATATACGGTCCCACAGTTGACAGTGCATGTCAGAGCAAAAACCAAGCCATGAGGTCAAAGGAATTGTCCGTAGAGCTCAGAGACAGGATTGTGTCGAGGCACAGATCTGGGGAAGGGTACCAAAAAATTTCTGCAGCATTGAAGGTCCCCAAGAACACAGTGGCCTCAATCATTCTTAAATGGAAGAAGTTTGGAACCACCAAGACTCTTCCTAGAGCTGGCCGCCCGGCCTAACTGAGCAATCGGGGGAGAAGGGCCTTGGTCAGGGAGGTAACCAAGAACCTGATGGTCACTGACAGAGCTCCAGAGTTCCTCTGTGGAGGTGGGAGAACCTTCCAGAAGGACAACCATCTCTGCCAGAGGGAAGCTACTCCTCAGTAAAAGGCACACAATAGCCTGCTTGGAGTTTGCCAAAACGCACCTAAAGGACTCTCAGACCATGAGAAACCAAGATTGAACTCTTTGGTCTGAATGCCAAGCGTCATGTCTGGAGGAAACCTGGCACCATCCCTACGGTGAACCATGGTGGTAGCAGCATCATGCTGTGGGCATGTTTTTCAGCGGCATGGACTGGGAGATCGAGGGAAAGATGAACGGAGCAAAGTAAAGCGAGATCCTTGATGAAACCTTGCTCCAGAGCACTCAGGACCTCAGACTGGGGTGAAGGTTCACCTTCCAACAGGACAACGACCCCAAGCACACAGCCAGGACAACGCACGAGTGGCTTCGGGACAAGTCTCTGAATGTCCTTGAGTGGCCCGGACTTGAACCCGATTTAACATCTCTGGAGAGACCTGAAAATAGCTGTGCAGCGACGCTCCCCATCCAACTTGACAGAGCTTGAGAGGATCTGTAGAGAAGAATGGGAGAAACTCCCCAAATACAAGTGTGCCAAGCTTGTAGCTTCATACCCAAGAAGACTCAAGGCTGTAATCACTGTCAAAGGTTCTTCAAGTTTATAAGTACTGAGTAAAGGGTCTGAATACTTATGTAAATGTGATATTTCCACACAAGAAATGCGAAAATGTCTAAATACCTGTTTTTGCTTTGTCATTATGGGGTATTGTGTGTAGATCTGGGATTTTTTTTTTTATGCAATTTTTGAATAATCTGTAAAGTAACCATGTGGAAAAAGTCAAGGTGTCTGAATAGTTTCTGAATGCACTGTATGTCATTAGGCTGTTTGTATTTTTAGAGATAGGCCTGTTGAAAATGTGCATTATTGTAGCATCTTTATTGAAAAAAATTAATCCAAATATACATCACTTTTAGCTACAGTCATTTGACATAGGTAATGAACTGTCTATTGTTCAGCACAGCAGTTGATCAAACAGGACCATGTCAATATGACACAGGTAAGGTAACGGTTACAAAAATTAGGAATGTAGACCGGCTCTATAAACCTACTGACCAAAAAATATGTTATGAAAAATATAAATGTAATATAAGGCATAACTTTAGCTTAGGTGACAGAAGACAGGACAATCCTCACAGGGAGCAAAGGTTCTCGACTGTCTCCTCTTGTAGGTCAAATGAAATGCTGTAGCTGTGTTGGATATGCAACAACACTGATTTCTATCTGTTCTATCTATCTGTAGGTGGATGCAAGAAGAGGGACGAGCCCAAAGGCAAAAAGAAACAATGAACTTTGACTCCATCTTCCAGTGCTTTGTTTTGGCTCTGCCCAACAAATACTATGGCAATAACATACATAATTATACTGTTCTTACAAATATCTATATCAGCCATGTTTTTCTTACTGTTTCAAAAGGAGTAGGCCTACCTAGCGAACCTGGGTTTGTTTTTCAAAATGCAGACCCGCCTTATTGCACCCCTATAGAAGGGTCTTTGTATTATTTACTACATCATTAAAAGGACATGTGGCAATGATATCACAGAAACTGCTTGGCAACCAACCACTGCATGATGATGATGATGATGATTGGATCATTTGCACTTTACACTTTCAGCATGGACCTTCAATGTATTGGACACAATTGCATTGAAATATACATTATTTGAAGAAAATCAACATTTCTATGTATATAATGTTTCAATTTGATACTGAGACCAATGTTTACAGTATGCCTACATGTTGTGTACTTGTTGATACAGCCCCTCTCATTTCATTTGGCAAATACAGGGCCTCTGTAGCCAAAATTCAAGCATAGTAGGAGTAGGAATATTGGTTAATGATCAATTAAGCATTACATATTGACCATAATAATCTCACCTGTATTCAAACACAAGGTTGAAGTGATAATGTGCTTCAATTCTACTTCAGAACCAGTTATTGTTTCTTTATTCACACAAGCACAGTTATCTGCATTGCAAATAGCTTTGATAATCATAGATTTAATGTAGGCTATTATGAAAATACAATAGAATGTTACATTTAGCTTTTAACAACCCCAAATTAGGTTGTTCTATATTTGTGTGTAATTGGGACTATGTTCACAGTTAAAAGTATTGCATACCGCGTACTTTGGTCCAACACAGTGCGCGCAACGTGCGCACGTAGTTTCATCCAAACGAGACTAGCACTTAGAGAATGATTAATTCAAAATGCACACAAAAAACATGTTTACACTATATGAATTCTCATTGGCCCTCGCTTGCGTGGTAGCCTAAATCTTGAAACTGAGTGATAAGGGGTCTGACCGTAAAAATAGACACGAGATCATGTGTAGTCTATGGTGCACGTGTCTCCTCTGCTCTGACATCAACAGGCGGATAACCCGTATTTGGTTACACCGGACTCAGACTTGAGGGGGAATTTTTCCAATCAGATAGGCCTACGGGTTGTCGTTTCTACTGCGCTCAGTGCACTAGTGTAGGCTAAACATGTCTCACAAAGCTTGTTACACAAGCCCCGGAGCTGGGGGTAAGCGACCCCGTAACGACACAGGGAACAAGTTGACAGTTGTACTTGGTGCACAGTGGGGCGATGAAGGGAAGGGAAAAGTGGTCGACTTGTTGGCGACAGAGTCGGACATCATTTGCAGATGCCAGGTGAGGAAATAAGATTCAAATGTACTCATTTTTTTCTTATTTGTTCTTTGTTATACATGCATTTTTTTTATTTTGCAGAAGTTGCACTTGCAAGATAATGGTGCGCAAAGCCGCTCTTCTCTCCAAACCTTTGCTTTTTATTTTGACCCAAATTGCTTTACGCACCGGTTAACAATTGCGGCGGCTTAGTATATTTGTTTCTGTGAGCAATGTCACACAGTGTACAGTATGTGCCATTCATTGTGTAGAGTCGTAGCGTCGTAGCGCGATAGTTAACTTTGTTTCCAGGGGCATGAAATAAAACAGATTGGGCATTCACTATTTCAGCACGGCACCGTAGAATGTTGGGTTTATAAAGACAAGCAAATGCCGGTATGTTGTAACAAGAACCCGGCTCAACAGAAGTTTGGAGCTGTGTTGATGTGCATAGCGTATCTATGAAAGCTCTATTACAATATGGGCTCGGGGAGGCCAGTGATGCCAGTGCCACAGTGTGCTATACTTTGTTCCAGACAGCACAAGTGGTAAAGGTCTCACGTCTCAGCGACATCAGTGGTATGCCGCATTCCCCTCAGTACAATGGCCTGATATATGTCAATGCGCGGTGACTGAGTAGTGGTAGACTAACCAACTGTGATTTACTGAAGGGGACATATTACTGATTTATTGGAAAGGCTGCTGATAACATATTGCAACCTATAAAAGTAACAGTGCGATTTGAGCATAGCCATCTAACTGTTTGAATAATTTTAACCATTTCTAGACCCCTGTTAGCCTATTCTTCAGTGAATGGACCACAGCCTCTCACAGTTTGCACCCATTTATGTAAGTGGCTCCCCGGTGGATCCTGATCCCCTCTTTGGGAAACAGCTTACGATAGGTCTACATTCCTTTATGCAACTCTAGTCCCACCATGGCGGACTGAATACTCACTGTATCTCTCCTTGTCGGCACTGTCGCTACAAACCTCCCAAAGATGGAGGCCGAAATATTCTCAATCCAATAAAGAAATCCATGGCATTTTTGAAGAGTGGTGTTCAATTATCCTAATTGAGAGTGTTGGGCAGTGACAATGGGCAGCAGTGTCCTAAGGTCCCAAGGTCACTCACGCTATCATTCTGAGGACTGTCTGTGTAGCCTGTTTTAGTGCATAATGTAATCAAAGAGGAATTTGGGCAAGTATGTCACTGAACTATGACAAACATGTGCTAAACCCTCAAGGGGCCAAATTGTACATTCCTCTGTAATAAATTATTCCTTATTGAATATGTAAAAATGGTGTTTAATCTCCAAACAATATGATTCATCATATTGTTCACTCTGTATTCATTTTCAGTGCTACAGTAAAAATAATTTGGATCAGGACATTCTGGTCTTTTGACTGACAAATCAACACTGATCTTCGTTAGAAAGTAACCTTAGAAATATGGCAGGGTGAATCTATATGAAGCTTCTGCTGATGTCTTAATGTTTATTTATGTGATTGGCAATAAAAAGTGTTAGCATTTGCACATTTAGGTTCCTCTTTGGCACTAAGGAAGGAAGGGATTTGGTATTGGTAAACCCAGCCGAGAGCTGCCCAGTGACGCAAGCCTTCCAGACGAGTTAAATGCCTTTTATGCTCGCTTCGAGGCAAGCGACACTGAAGCATGCATGAGAGCACCAGCTGTTCCGGACGATTGTGTGATCACGCTCTCCGTAGCCGATGTGAGCAAGACCTTTAAACAGGTCAACATTCACAAGGCCGCGGGGCAAGACGGATTACCAGGACGTGTACTCAGAGCATGCGCGGACCAACTGCCAAGTGTTTTCACTGACATTTTCAACCTCTCTCTGACTGAGTCTGTAATACCTACATGTTTCAAGCAGACCACCATAGTCCCTGTGCCCAAGAAAGCAAAAATAACCTGCCTAAATGACTACCGCCCGTAGCACTCACGTCTGTAGCCATGAAGTGCTTTGAAAGGCTGGTCATGACTCACATCAAAACCATCATCCCGGAAACCCTAGACCCACTCCTATTTGCATACCACCCCAACAGATCCACAGATGATGCAATCTCAATCGCACTCCACAGTGCCCATTCCCACCTGGACAAAAGGAACACCTATGTGAGAATGCTGTTCATTGACTACAGCTCAGCGTTCAACACCATAATGACCACAAAGCTCATCACTAAGCTAAGGACCCTGGGACTTAACACCTCCCTCTGCAACTGGATCCTGGACTTCCTGACGAGCCGCCCTCAGGTAGTAAGGGTAGGCAACAACACATCTGCCACGCTGATTCTCAACACTGGGGCCCCTCAGGGGTGCGTGCTTAGTCCCCTCCTGTACTCCCTGTTCACCCACGACTGTGTGGCCAAGCACAACTCCAACACCATCATTAAGTTTGCTGACGACACAACAGTGGTAGGCCTGATCACCGACAACGATGAGACAGCCTATAGGGAGCAGGTCAGAGACCTGGCAGTGTGGTGCCAGGACAACAACCTCTCCCTCAGTGTGAGCAAGACAAAGGAGCTGATCGTGGACGACAGGAAAAGGAGGGCAGAACAGGCCCCCATTAACATCGACGGGGCTGTAGTGGAGCAAGAGTTTCAAGTTCCTTGGTGTCCACATCACCAACAAACTATCATGGTCCAAACACACCAAGACAGTCGTGAAGAGGGCATGACAACACCCTATCTGTCACGCCCTGGCTCTGGGGACTCTAGTATGTTGAGCCAGGGTGTGAGTTTTCATTTGTTTTTCGTTCTAGTTTTGTAGTTCTATGTTGGCCAGTGTGGTTCTCAATCAGAGGCAACGTGTATCAGCTGTTGCTTGTTGTCTCTGATTGGGCACCATACTTAAGCAGCCAGTTTTCCCACAGTGTTTGTGGGATCTTGTTCCTGTGTAGGTTTGTGTTTTGCACCTTTGGACGTCACGTATCGATTTGTTGTTTTGTTCGTGTAATCATTATTTAATAAATATGTTCACCTTCCACGCTGCGCCTTGGTCCTCTGTATCCGACGATCGTGACAGAAGATCCCACCAACACTGGACCAAGCAGCGTGTCCAGGAGCCAGCGCCAGAGGTATCGCTAAAGGACATCAACCTCGACTGGGCCTGGCCCACGGGGAGGAGAGACCCCCAGAACATTTTTAGGGGGGGGGCTCACGCCGTGGACGACGGGGCAGCAGGAGGCCGCGATAGAGCGGTCCAGCGGGTTTGCAGAGGAGGCCGCCAGGTTAAGGGGGCCACTGGTCACAGAGGAGAGGGAAAGTGTAGAGGCACGGCGAGAGGTACTGGGGTGTGTTACCAGTCCGGTCCGGCCCGTTCCTGATCCCTGCGTAGGGCCAGTGGTGTGTGTCCCCAGTACGGTCCGGCCTGTTCCTGTTCCTCGCATCGAGCCTGTAGTGCGCGTCGTCACCCCGGCCCGGCCTGTTCCTGCTCCACGCACCAAGCCTATGGTGCGCATCGTCAGCCCGGCCCGGCCTGTCCCTGCTCCACGCACCGAGCCTGTGGTGCGCGTCGTCAGCCCGGTTCGGCCTGTTCCTGCTCCCCACACCAAGCCAGTGGTGTGCGTCGTCAGTCCGGCACAGCCCGTGCCTGTTCCACCGGTGCCTGGTCCGGCACCGGTCAGCTGCTCCACGCCGGAGCTAGAGCGGTCCGCTCCACCGGTGTTCAGTCCAGCTCCGGCCAGCGGGGTCAGACCGGACCAGGGGTACTTTGGGGGGTTGGAGAGGGAGTGGGAATCATGCCCGGAGCCGGATCCGCCGCCAAGGCGGAGTGCCCACCCGGTCCCTCCCCTGTGGTGTTTGGTTGGCGCGGCCGGAGTCCGCGCCTTTGGGGGTGGGGGGGGTACTGTCACGCCCTGGCTCTGGGGACTCTAGTATGTTGAGCCAGGGTGTGAGTTTTCATTTGTTTTTCGTTCTAGTTTTGTAGTTCTATGTTGGCCAGTGTGGTTCTCAATCAGAGGCAACATGTATCAGCTGTTGCTTGTTGTCTCTGATTGGGCACCATACTTAAGCAGCCAGTTTTCCCACAGTGTTTGTGGGATCTTGTTCCTGTGTAGGTTTGTGTTTTGCACCTTTGGACATCACGTATCGATTTGTTGTTTTGTTCGTGTAATCATTATTTAATAAATATGTTCACCTTCCACGCTGCGCCTTGGTCCTCTGTATCCGACGATCGTGACACTATCCCCCCCAGGAGACTGAAAAGATTTGGCATGGGTCCCCAGATACTCAAAAAGTTATACAGCTGCACCATCGAGAGCATCCTGACCGGTTGCATCATTGCCTGGTATGGCCACTGCTCGGCATTTGACCGTAAGGCGCTACAGAAGGTAGTGTGTACAGCCCAGTACATCACTGGGGCCAAGCTTCCTGCCATCCAGGACCTATATAATAATAATAATAATAATAATAATAATAATAATAATAATATGCCATTTAGCAGACGCCTATATACTAGGCGGTGTCAGAGGAAGGCCCCAAAAATGGTCAAAGACTCCAGTCACCCAAGTCATAGACTGTTCTTTCTGCTACCGAACGGCAAGTGGTACCGGAGCGCCAAGTCTAGGTCCAAAAGGCTCCATAACAGCTTCTACCCCCAAGCCATAAGACTGCAGAACAATTAATAAAATGGCCACCCGGACTATTTACATTGACCCCCCCCCCCCCCTTGTTTTTACACTGCTGCTACTTGCTGTTAATTATCTATGCATAGTCACTTTACCCCTACCTACATGTACAAATTACCTCAACTAACCTGTACCCCCGCACATTGACTCGGTACCCCCTGTATAAAGCGTTGTTGTTATTTTATTGTGTTATTTTTTATTTAGTTTATTTAGGTAATATTTTCTTAACTCAATTTCTTGAACTGCATTGTTGGTTAAGGGCTTGTACAGTGGGGAGAACAAGTATTTGATACACTGCCGATTTTGCAGGTTTTCCTACTTACAAAGCATGTAGAGGTCTGTAATTTTTATCATAGGTACACTTCAACTGTGAGAGACGGAATCTAAAGCAAAAATCCACAAAATCACATTGTATGATTTTTAAGTAATTAATTTGCATTTTATTGCATGACATAAGTATTTGATCACCTACCAACCAGTAAGAATTCCGGCTCTCACAGACCTGTTAGTTTTTCTTTAAGAAGCCCTCCTGTTCTCCACTCATTACCTGTATTAACTGCACCTGTTTGAACTCGTTACCTGTATAAAAGACACCTGTCCACACACTCAATCAAACAGACTCCAACCTCTCCACAATGGCCAAGACCAGAGAGCTGTGTAAGGACATAAGGGATAACATTGTAGACCTGCACAAGGCTGGGATGAGCTACAGGACAATAGGCAAGCAGCCTGGTGAGAAGGCAACAACTGTTGGCGCAAATATTAGAAAATGGAAGAAGTTCAAGATGACGGTCAATCACCCTCAGTCTGGGGCTCCATGCAAGATCTCACCTCGTGGGGCATCAATGATCATGAGGAAGGTGAGGGATCAGCCCAGAACTACACGGCAGGACCTGGTCAATGACCTGAAGAGAGCTGGGACCACAGTCTCAAAGAAAACCATTAGTAACACACTACGCCGTCATGGATTAAAATCCTACAGCGCACGCAAGGTCCCCCTGCTCAAGCCAGTGCATGTCCAGGCCCATCTGAAGTTTGCCAATGACCATCTGGAGGATCCAGAGGAGGAATGGGAGAAGGTCATGTGGTCTGATGAGACAAAAATAGAGCTTTTTGGTCTAAACTCCACTCGCTGTGTTTGGAGGAAGAAGGATGAGTACAACCCCAAGAACACCATCCCAACCGTGAAGCATGGAGGTGGAAACATCATTATTTGGGGATGCTTTTCTGCAAAGGGGACAGGACGACTGCACCGTATTGAGGGGAGGATGGATGGGGCCATGTATCGCGAGATCTTGGCCAACAACCTCCTTCCCTCAGTAAGAGCATTGAAGATGGGTCGTGGCTGGGTCTTCCAGCATGACAACGACCCGAAACACACAGCCAGGGCCTAGCCAGTCTCCAGACCTGAACCCAATAGAAAATCTTTGGAGGGAGCTAAAAGTCAGTATTGCCCAGCGACAGCCCCGAAACCTGAAGGATCTGGAGAAGGTCTGTATGGAGGAGTGGGCGAAAATCCCTGCTGCAGTGTGTGCGAACCTGGTCAAGACCTACAGGAAACGTATGATCTCTGTAATTGCAAACAAAGGTTTCTGTACCAAATATTAAGCTTTTCTGATGTATCAAATACTTATGTCATGCAATAAAATGCAAATTAATTACTTAAAAATCATACAATGTGATTTTGTGGATTTTTATTTTAGATTCCGTCTGTCACAGTTGAAGTGTACCTATGATAAAAATTACAGACCTCTACATGCTTTGTAAGTAGGAAAACCTGCAAAATCGTTAGTGTATCAAATACTTGTTCTCCCCACTGTAAGTAAGCATTTCACGGTAAGGTCTACACCTGTTGTATTCAGCGCATGTGACAAATAAAATGTTATTTGATTTGATAAATCTGTGGTGCCACTGGTGGAGACATAAAAGAGGATCCTGCAGAAGGACAGGAGTGAAATGCAGCTGCAGAGGAGATACTGGAAGTAACAACATACACATAACTTTTAGGACAATGATAAAAGGTGCTTATAGGTAACATTTAAAGTCCTCAAAGATTTTTCAAATGGGCTCATTTCTATCTCCACCTATGCATCATTCAACAAGCAAAATAAAATAGTGGACTGTCTCCTTTGTGCCAAGAAAGTGTTTGGGCTTGTCACTAGTTTACTGCTAATGAGTGTAACGTGTACACTGGGAGTCGGGAAGCAAGTACAGGTAGTGAATTTAATAATAACAAGAAACACAAGTAGGTACAGACATGAAACACAGGAACAAAATCAATAACTTCTAGGGAAGGAACCAAAGAGAGTGACATATATATGGGAGGTAATCAGGAAGGTGATGGAGTCCAGGTGAGTCTGATGAGGCGATGGTGACAGGTGTGCGTAATAATAAGCAGACTGGCAACCTTGAGCGCCGGAGAGGGAGTATACGTGACAATACCCCCTCCCTGACGCATGGCTCCAGCCGCAGGACGCCGACCAGAGGGACGGTCCCGGGGACCAGGAGCGGGCCGATTGCTTCTGCTGAGGCACAGGAACCTGTCGAGCCGGCTGAGGCACGGGAGCCTGACGAGCCGGCTGAGGCATGGGAGCCTGACGAGCCAACCGAGTCTTGTGAACCTGTTGAGCCGGCTGAGGCATGGGAGCCTGCCGAGCCAACCGAGTATTGTGAACCTGTCGAGCCAGCTGAGGCGTGGGAGCCTAACGAGCTAGCTGAGGCATCCTCGGTTGCTCCGGCAGCGGCACCCGGACCTGACGTCACCAACAAAAACAAAAAACACTCCCTGATGCGTAACGTGTATGCTGGGAGTCGGGAAGCAAGTACAGGGAGTGAATTTAATAATAAATTAAACAAAACAAGAAACACGAGCGGCGTACAGACATGAAACACAGGAACAGAATCAATAACGCCTAGGGAAGGAACTAAAGGGAGTGACATACAGTACCAGTCAAAAGTTTAGACACGCCTACTCATTCAAAGGTTTTTCTTTATTTTCACTATGTTCTACATTGTAGAATAATAGTGAAGACATCAAAACTATGAAATAACACATATGGAATCATGTAGTAACCATAAAAGTGTTAAACAAATCAAAATATATTTGATGACAGCTTTGCACACTCTTGTTCCCACATATACTGAGCACTTGTTGGCTGCTTTTCCTTCACTCTGCCGTCCGACTCATCCCAAGCCATCTCGGTTGGGTTGAGGTCGGGGGATTGTGGAGGCCAGAACATCTGATACAGCACTCCATCACTCTCCTTCTTGGTAAAATAGCCCTTTCACAGCCTGGAGGTGTGTTTTGGGTCATCGTCCTGTTGAAAAACAAATGATAGTCCCACTAAGCCCAAACCAGATGGGATGGTGTATCGCTGCAGAATGCTGTGGTAGCCATGCTGGTTAAGTGTGCCTTGAATTCTAAATAAATCACAGACAGTGTCACCAGCAAAGCACCCCCACACCATAACACCTCCTCCTCCATGCTTTACGGTGGGAACTACACATGCGGAGATCATCCGTTCAACCACACCGCGTCTCACAAAGACACGGCGGTTTGAACCAAAAATCTCAGATTTGGACCCCAGACCAAAGGACACATTTCCACCGGTCTAATGTCCATTGCTCGTCTTTCTTGGCCCAAGCAGGTCTCTTCTTCTTATTGGTGTCCTTAAGTAGTGGTCCTTAAGGCCTGATTCACACATTTATTTGGGCTGCAATTTCTGAGGCTGGTAACTCTAATGAACTTATCCTCTGCAGCAGAGGTAACTATGGGTCTTCCATTCCTGTGGCAGTCCTCATGAGAGCCAGTTTCATCATAGCGCTTGATGGTTTTTGCGACTGCACTTGAAGAAACTTTCAAAGGTCTTTACATTTTCCATATTGACTGACCTTCATGTCTTAAAGTAATGATGGACTGTCGTTTCTCTTTGCTTATTTGAGCTGTTCTTGCCATAACAACACAACTGATTGGCTCAAATGCATTAAGAAGGAAATAAATTCCACAAATTAACTTTTAAGAAGGCACACCTGTTAATAGAAATACATTCCAGGTGACTACCTCATGAAGCTGGTTGAGAGAATGCCAAGAGCGTGCAAAGCTGTCATCAAGGCAAGGGGTGGCTATTTGAAGAATCTCAAATATAACATATATTTTGATTTGTTTAACACTTTTTTGGTTACTACATGATTCCATATGTGTTATTTCATAGGTTTTGATGTCTTCAGTATTATTCTACAATGTAAGAAATTGTAAAAATAAAGAAAAACCCTTGAAGGAGTAGGTGTGTCCAAACTTTTGACTGGTAATTTATATAGGGGAGGTAATCAGGAAGGTGACGGAGTCCAGGTGAGTCTGATGAGGCGCTGGTGCACGTAACGATGGTGACAGGTGTGCGTAATAATAAGCAGACTGGCGACCTCAAGCGCCGGAGAGGGAGTATACGTGACAATGAGCTATTTGTCCCCGGTTGCACAGATAAGAGAGTGTCAGTTTGGCATGCCCCTCTTCCTCCAGTGTGCCTGCCAGGCCCAGGGGATAAAGAGGAGATACATGCCTGGGGAAGCATGTATACATGAGAAGGGCATACTGCCCCGATTGCTGCTAAAATAGCTCTTACTCTAGTACTGCAGACTGTGGGATAGTTTGATGTGGGAAGACCTACTGTATTTCCCCAGGAGCCACGCAGGCATGTTATAGTTATATATAGACCAGCCAGTCTTGTGTATCTGCAGACAGTGGAGACTTGTTGGATGAGATAAATAACCCATACATTTATTGCATTCCTGAGTGCCCGCTCTGTTCTTCTTGTTCTTCTGACCACAAGGGCGGTAACAATGCAGGTCACACGGTGGTCGTGGATGGGAAGGAATATGACTTCCACCTCCTCCCCAGCGGGATCATCAACTCCAAAGCTCTTTCTGTGATCGGTGTGTACATCTCTATTCCCTGTCATCAGCAGCTTGCACTGACCAGTCACTCGGCTCTTTGGTTTGCCTGTTAGATGTAGGCCTACCATCAAATCATAGCCCACTGTGTATTCTTACACAGAACATCCCTTCTGTCTCTGCAGGCAATGGTGTGGTCATTCATCTGCCAGGCTTGTTTGAAGAAGCAGAAAAAAATGAAAAGAAAGGTGGGAAGATTTTGATATCAACATTAAGTGGAGTCATTGGCCTATAGTTTGTCTTAGGATGTGCATTTTGATAATCTATTTAGAAAGGAACAGCAGATGAGAGGACAGAGTGATTTTGTCTAACTGTTTTATGTTTCCTTCCCGCAGGCCTTAAAGACTGGGAGAAGAGACTGATCATATCAGACAGGGCCCACATTGGTAACTAACACTCTTATTGGAAAACAGCTGCATGTAGAAGAGAGGGCAAAGGACATGTAGTTCAGATAGTGCTAAAAACAGATAATACAAACACAATTGTTTGTTGAGAGTAACAGATGTGGTGTGATAGGATATAATTGATTATTGCTGATTGCCCACCAATCAATTGCTGATTGATTTATGTTAGCACTTTTTACAGTTACTGTAGGTTATGTAACAATATGGCAATGCAATATTTAATATTGTTTGTGTTGTGACAACAATTTGACATTGATCACCAGCTGTGAGACCATGATTTTAAGAATACTTCTTTACAGTGCTGATAAACAGTTGTTGCAGATAATCTTAGAACATGGAGAGACATTTATCCCATAGTCTCACATGTTCCGATGGCATGTTCTGCTGTTGACAGGCATATGTTTATGTGTCCGTGGTGTGAAATAACCTGTTTACCCTTTGGACAGTGTTTGACTTCCACCAGGCAGTTGACGGACTCCAGGAGGTACAGAGACAAGCACAGGAAGGGAAAAAGTAAGAACAGGAAATTACACCTTCTACTGCAGGACTCAAACAACACTTTACTAAAGCCTGCAGGTGTAATGCATTGTGATGCATTGTAAAACTTGTCATAAATCATGATACATTATAAAGGCATGCGATGCTTGTAACGTGTTATTAAGCATTACCTGCAGGCTTTAAGTAAAGTGTTACCAGATTAAGTGTTTTATTAGAATCATAATTCATGTAGCGTTGAAATGCTTATATTCCTCAAATAGTGTTGTAATTCTTCATTTACTTCATACAGTATTGGAACCACAAAGAAAGGCATCGGACCAACCTACTCAAGCAAAGCATCACGTACGGGGCTGCGTATCTGTGACCTTCTAGCTGATTTCAAAGACTTTTCTAAGAGGTAAGTCTCACCATCGTCACCTTCACCCACAGAGACTGAGGGTTATGGGGAGTGCCAGTTGGCATTTGGCTCTCTGGACAATGGGAACATTTATTATGGACATATTGCTCCAGTATATTCATGTTCTTCTGATGGTGGCTTGGTTCTAGGTTCAAGAACCTTGCTCAGCAGTACCAGGCCATGTTCCCCACATTGGAGGTAGATGTTGACGGTCAGCTGAAGAAATTAAAGGTGGGTTTCATGAAGTGTGCATTTTTTTTATGTGTTTGTTTGTGTATGTTGACATGGCTATGGGGTAAATACCCCTCAGCTAGTAGAAAATGTATGTCAGAATTGTAACGGAGTGGACACACTCATAACTCATCATCATCACCCCATAATAACCATGAAATCCTCTCTGTCATGGGGTGAGGTCTAAATTTAGCATCAGAGAAGCAGATGAGAATTACAGTAGCTCTGCTCTCATGATCCATCTATCCATATAGTAGGAACAAATCTAATCTTGCATCCTGTCTAATCATATAGGAGTATGCTGAGCGGATAAGACCCATGGTGCGAGACGGTATCTATTTCATGTACGATGCTATTAATGGACCCCCTAAGAAGATTCTGGTGGAGGGAGCGAACGCTGCCTTGCTTGACATTGACTTTGGTAAGGAATACTATACTCCCCTGTGGCTGACCGTATGAGACTGGTATAGACGCATGGATATGAATAAGCACTGTTCGCCCAAGAGTCATGGTACTCACTACTGTAAGTCGCTTTGGATAAGAGCGTCTGCTAAATGACTAAAATGTAAAGGTATGTTCATAGACATGGTAAGTTTCCTTAGAAGGGGTTTGTGTTTGGTTTCTTAAGATAGGCTAAACAACTATTTGGGTCTACACAGTCCTTGTTTACACCTGTTGACATAACCACATATACAGTCGTGGTCAAAGGTTTTGAGAATGACACAAATACTAATTTTCACAAAGTCTGCTGCCTCAGTTTTGATGATGGCAATTTGCATATACTCCAGAATGTCATGAAGAGTGATCAGATGAATTGCAATTAATTGCAAAGAATGAAAATGAACTTAATCCCCCAAAAACATTTCCACTGCATTTCAGCCCTGCCACAAAAGGACCAGCTGCCATCATGTCAGTGATTCTCTCATTGACACAGGTGAGAGTGTTGACAAGGCTGGAGATCACTCTGTCATGCTGATTGAGTTAGAATAACAGAGTAGAAGCTTTAAAAGGAGGGTGGTGCTTGAAATCATTGTTCTTCCTCTGTTAACCATGGTTACCTGCAAGGAAACACGTGCCGTCATCATTGCTTTGCACAAAAAGGGCTTCACAGGCAAGGATATTGCTGCTAGTAAGATTGCACCTAAATCAACCATTTATCGGATCATCAAGAACTTCAAGGAGAGAGGTTCAATTGTTGTGAAGGTGTCAGGGCGCCCAAGAAAGTCCAGCAAGCGCCAGGACCGTCTCCTAAAGTTGGTTCAGCTGCGGGATCGGGGCACCACCAGTGCAGAGCTTGCTCAGGAATGGCACCAGGCAGGTGTGAGTGCATCTGCACGCACAGTGAGGTGAAGGCTTTTGGAGGATGGCCTGGTGTCAAGAAGGGCAGCAAAGAAGCCACTTCTCTCCAGGAAGCACATCAGGGACAGACTGATATTCTGCAAAAGGTACAGGGATTGGACTGCTGAGGACTGGGGTAAAGTCATTTTCTCTGATGAATCCCCTTTCCGATTGTTTGGGGCATCTGGAAAACACCTTGTCCGGAGAAGACAAGGTGAGCGCTACCATCAGTCCTGTGTCATGCCAACAGTAAAGCATCCTGAGACCATTCATGTGTGGGGTTGCTTCTCAGCCAAGGGAGTGGGCTCACTCACAATTTTGCCTAAGAACACAGCCATGAATAAAGAATGGTACCAACACATCCTCCGAGAGCAACTTCTCCCAACCATCCAAGAACAGTTTGGTGACGACCAATGCCTTTTCCAGCATGATGGAGCACCTTGCCATAAGGCAAAAGTGATAACTAAGTGGCTCGGGGAACAAAACATCGACATTTTGGGTCCATGGCCAGGAAACTCCCCAAACCTTAATCCCATTGACAATTTGTGGTCGATCCTCGAGGCGGGTGGACAAACAAAAACCCACAAATTCTGACAAACTCCAAGCATTGATTATGCAAGAATGGGCTTCCATCAGTCAGGATGTGGCCCAGAAGTTAATTAACAGCATGCCAGGGCGGATTGCAGAGGTCTTGAAAAAGAAAGGTCAACACTGCAAATATTGACTCTTTGCATAAACTTAATGTAATTGTCAATAAAAGCCTTTGACACTTATGGAATGCTTGTAATTATACTTCAGTATACCATAGTAACATCTGACAAAAATATATCATAACACTGAAGCAGCGAACTTTGTGAAGACCAATACTTGTCATTCTCAAAACTTTTGACTGTACAGTAGTCGTTATAATGAAATAGGACGTTTTAAAGGAAGACATTCCCCCACACAGTTTGCTAGCAAATGGTCTGGTGCACATCCAGGAGGCGATCAGAAATGCATTCCTTTAAAATGTTTCTCTCGTCTCCCAGGAACATACCCATTTGTGACATCATCAAACTGCACCGTGGGTGGTGTGTGCACCGGACTGGGCATCCCACCTCTGAACATTGGTGATGTGTATGGGGTGGTGAAGGCCTACACCACTAGAGTGGGCATCGGGGCATTCCCCACAGAACAACTCAATGTGAGTCGAACCCCAAACATGATACACTAAATGCAAATAAGAGGAGCTATAGAATGAAGAACATAATGTCAGAATTCAAACTCAAAGTAGTCAGAACTACACAGAATAGAGTAGTTGAAGGTCTGATTGCTCAGACCAGCTTTTCTGCTGGCATCCGTCCTTACAGGAGGTTGGGGAGCTGCTGCAGACGCGGGGCTGTGAGGTGGGTGTGACCACAGGGAGGAAGAGACGCTGTGGATGGCTGGATCTGGTCATCCTGCGTTACGCCAACATGATCAACGGGTTCACCGCGTGAGTGTCACAGCAGGTTTTGCCATGCCCCGAATGTTGTGCAGTCCTGTTTTCTTTATAGAGAATTTGGGCCACATTGCCACCTACTGGATCTTATTGGGGGGGATGGCAAGAGAAGAGAGATACATTTTAACCTTGTTTTTCAATCACAGGTTTGCATTAACCAAACTTGATATCCTTGATGTGATGGATGAAATCAAAGTGGGAGTGTCTTATAAGCTCAATGGCAAAAAGATTCCCTATTTCCCAGGTAAGACTGACTGAATTTAGTAGTGTACATATTCCTTCATAAATGTATGTGATGAAACAAACAAAGAAGATGGTGTTGGCTTTATAAGATTAATTAGGAAAAAATGTCCACGAAACCTTTCTCCATGGACTGTATGACCCATGTCTTCTCAGCTAACATGGACGTCCTGCAGAAAGTGGAGGTGGAGTACGAGAAACTGCCTGGCTGGAAGAGTGACACCTCAGCCTGTAGGAAGTGGGAAGATCTGCCAGTCAAAGCCCAGAGCTACATCCGCTTTGTGGAGATCCACGTTGGCGTACCCAGTAAATATTCTATTCCAAATTCAGGACCTACATTCTGTTTTTAAAATAATGAGATCAATACATTAAAACTTTTCAATGGCTCTTAATCAACTTTTTCTCTTTCCAGTCAAATGGGTTGGAGTGGGCAAGGCCAGGGAGTCTATGATCCAGTTGTTCTAGAACACAAGACCTGCATCAATCCTTCCTCTCTCAATGAAGGTGATTGAGGTGCTATGGCTTTATCTGCCCTGGTCAGATTTCCTCTGTTTTGAAAATTGTTTTCCTACTTTACGGGGCTGCCGCAGCCACACAAAGTGAGCAAATATGTGACTTTGAGACTAGATGAATGTTCAGAAAATACTTCTATTGATTGTGTCTCAGTGGCTCTTCTCTTTTGCAATTTACAAACAAGTTCAAATAGACTTGTTTATGACCCAATTCCTTTCTTTGCACTGATACAGCATTTGAGTATTTCGCGAAATATTGTTTTGATTTGACATTACTGTCATGTCAGGTAGCCTACGTTGTTTAGACTTGAATGAACCTTGGCCAGTATCTGATGCCTAATATTTGCATGCTGATGTAGAACAATAGCTGATATGTGAAACTATTTTGAACACTGCAATGGCCAGAATTATGTAGTTATGAGTATAACATAAAAAAAATTATTCAACCTTTATTTAACTAGGCATTTCAGTTAAGAACAAATTCTTATTTACAATGACGGCCTACCAAGAGGCAAAAGGCCTCCTGCGGGGACGGTGCCTGGGATTAAAAATAAAAATGTAGGACAAACCACACATCACGACAAGAGACACCACAACACTACATAAAGAGAGACCTAAGACAACAACACAGCATGGCAGCAACACAACACAGCATGGCAGCAACACAGCATGGTAGCAACACAACATGACAACAACACGGTAGCGACACAACATAGCAGCAGCACAACATGGTAGCAGCACAAACATGGTACAAACATTGTTGGGCACAGACAACAGCACAAAGGACTACAATGCATCACGCGAAGCAGCCACAAGTGTCAGTAAGAGTGTCCCATGATTGAGTATTTGAATGTAGAGATGGAGAACATGTTGTGGTCTAGGTGTAAATGATGTGTCCTGCTACCTGTCCAAGAACTTCAAGTGCAATACTGTATCATGTTGTCCACACTTTGTTGAAAGAGCACAGGGATCCATTATTTTGCCTCTGTGACACATTTGATTATATAAAACACATTTTTGTACCAATCAACTCTGTCACAATGTATTTTTGCACCTGTCAAATTTCAGTTTCTTTTTAATATTATGTCCCCCATTGATACTGTCACGGAATCTGCCGAGGCTGTTCCTCCTCCTTGCTCGGGCAGGTTTCGGCGGTCGTCGTCCCCGGAGTACTAGCTGCCACCGTTGTATGTTTGCTTTTGTCTGATTGTTGTACACCTGTGGTTAGTTAGCGTTGATTAGGTGTCCTATAAGTTCTCGTTTTGTTAGTCATGTGTTGTGTGTTATTGAGCGTCCTGTCTACGTGTCGGTATTGGTTTTCCCTCCTTGTGTTTTAGGAGAGGTTTTCGCACTTTGTGTGCGCTTATGTATTTTTCCTGTTTGTTTACGCCTGTGTGCGTATCGCTCGTCTCCGGGCACTTTTGCTCATATTTAATCACTAAAGACTGTTGTACGAAGCTTCTGTGTCCTGCGCCTGATTCCCGCACCTTCCACATACAGCACACTTTGACAGATACTGTACTATAACAGCTAAGATGACACTGATACCCCAAAAGTTCTCTAGTGCAATATTGTTACAAATAGAAGTGGAAATCTGATATGCAAATAAATCTGTTATATCGCATAATTTATCTGTTGTGTTTTATCTATTTTGTCTCTGGCTCACCCCTCTGTCAAGAAAAGATACCAGTAGTCACAACTCTGGTGAATACTGAGGAAATGGTACCATCTGCTGGACTGGGTTATTTTAATTGGCAGCACATCTCAACAGTCTGAAGTGGTTTCCTCTCCCTATCTCCGGCTGCAATTAGACAGGCAGACCAAATCGTATATTTTTGTTCCCTAATTGGTCTTTTGACCAATCAGATCAGCTCTGATGTGAGAACATCTGATGTGATTGGTCAAAAGACCAATTAGTGGAAAAAAATATCAGAATGCCTGTGTAACCAGCCGGAGATAGGGAGAGGAAACCACTTGAGACTATCGCAGCCTCCTTTCCTTTATCTGCACCAATCTGAGAACAAAATAGGTGAAATAGTACATAGTAAAATGTCATTCAAGGGACTTGCTTCCACCTGTCAGAACCTAAAATCCCTCTATTTATTTGGCACCGGTGTGGATTGTGACCTGCTCGGGATCAGTTGTGATGGGAACATTGTCTTCATTTGGTCTCATCAGAAAGTCTAGTACCACTGCACTGCTGAAATATTGCCAATGAGGCTCCTGTTTGGTCGTTTAGGTTATCAGATTAAGACCCTTTCCAAATAAATCCCAGCCACTTGTCCTTTATACCACACCTGCTTCCCATGACCCTTCCTTTCCACTTCGAGTGTCACCCCAGAAGGCCACCGCCACCGCTGTCGCTTCCCTGAAAATAGCCAGTTACTGTGACCGAGGGATGGCCTGTTTAATGAGAAGGTTAGGGCAAATTAGATAGGAGCCTGCTGGAGTGTCTCATCCGGTAAGCAGGGGGCCATTTGGCTCTTTTATTAACATTAAATCCATAGTTGCTGTGAGAAACTGTTCCCGGAACTGTGTCCCTGCAGGGGAGGAACACTAGGTCTTTCCATCTGTCTCGCCACTTAACGTCTCAGCCTCTCCTTGGACATTTGTATTTATGTGTTTATGCCTTGTTTTCTAGATGTTTGTTTTCTGGATGCAAGTCCCTGTTGTGAGCCCTCTGTAGCTTAGTTGGTAGAGCATGGCGTTTGCAACGCCAGGGTTGTGGGTTTGATTCCCATGGGGGGCCAGTATGAAAATGTATGCACTCACTAACTGTAAGTTGCTCTGTATAAGAGCGTCTGCTAAATATGTAAAAATGTGTTCCACTGGTCCAGCAGGAGCCAATACAAATCTAATGTTGAAACAGTTCATATCTTTACTTCTGGCTTTATACTGGATGTTGGATGGGCTTTTCATTGACGATGATGAGGAGGATATCCACATGTTCTTTCTTTCTTGTAATTTAACTTACAATATGCTAGAGTCTGCATTGCAGAAACACCTCAGAGAGAAAATGGCTCTGTTTTCAAACAAAGGCAAATAATAAACCGCACATAGAACTTGAAGAAAACAAGCAAAATTACTTGAACAGTTACAATATTTTAATTGAGGGGAGTAACATTGCTATTACATTGTATTAATATATTTAGATTGCAGTTATACAGTACCAGTCAAAAGTTTGGACAAACCTACTCATTCCAGGGTTTTTCTTTATTTTTACTATTGTCTACATTGTAGAATAATAGTGAAGACATCAAAACTATGAAATAACACATATGGAATCATGTAGTAACCAAAAAAGGTGTTAAACCAATCAAAATATACTTGAGATTTGAGATTCTTCAAATAGCCTCCCTTTTCCTTGATGACAGCTTTGCACACTCTTGGCATTCTATCAACCAGCTTCATTAAGTAGTCACCTGGAATGCATTTCAATTAACAGGTGTGCCTTCTTAAAAGTTAATTTGTGGAATTTCTTTCCTTCTTAATGCGTTTGAGCCAATCAGTTGTGTTGTGACAAGGTAGGGGGTTATACAAAAGATAGCCCTATTTGGTAAAAGACCCAAGTCCATATTATGGCAAGAACAGCTCAAATAAGCAAAGAGGAATGACAGTCCATCATTACTTTGAAAGTTTCTTCAAGTGCAGTCGCAAAATGATCAAGGGCTATGATGCAACTGGTCATGAAGACCACCACAGGAATGGAAGACCCAGAGTTACTTCTGCTGCAGAGGATAAGTTCATTAGAGTTACCAGCCTCAGAAATTGCAGCCCAAATAAATGCTTCACAGAGTTCAAGTAACAGACACATCTCAACATCAACTGTTCAGAGGAGACTGTGTGAATCAGGCCATCATGGTCGAATTGCTGCAAATAAACCACTACTAAAGGACACCAATAATAAGAAGAGACTTGCTTGGACCAAGAAACACGAGTAATGGACATTAGACCGGTGGACATTTGTCCTTTGGCCTGGAGTCCAAATTTGAGATTTTGGGTTCCAACCGCTTTGTCTTTGTGAGACGCGGTGTGGGTGAACGGATGATCTACTTATGTGTAGTTCCCACCGTAAAGCATGGTGGAGGAGGTGTTATGGTGTGGGGGTGCTTTGCTGGTGACACTATCTGTGATTTACTGTGACACACACTTAACCAGCATGGCTACCACAGCATTCTGTAGCGATACACCATCTCATATGGTTTGGGCTTAGTGGGACTATCATTTGTTTTTCAACAGGACAATGACCAAACACACCTCCAGGCTGTGTAAATGCTATTTGACCAAGAAGGAGAGTGATGGAGTGTTGCATCAGATTACCTGACCTCCACAATCACCCGACCTCAACCAAATTGAGATGGTTTGGGATGAGTAGGACCGCAGAGTGAAGGAAAATCAGCCAACAAGTGCTCAGCATATGTGGGAACTCCTTCAAGACTGTTGGAAAAGCATTCCAGGTGAAGCTGGTTGAGAGAATGCCAAGAGTGTGCAAAACTGTCATCAAGGCAAAGGGTGGCTATTTGAAGAATCTCAAATATAAAATATATTTTGATTTGTTTAACACTATTTGGTTACTACATGAATCAATATGTGTTATTTCATAATTTTGATGTCTTCACTATTATTCTACAATGTAGAAAATAGTAAAAATAAAGACAAACCCTTGAATGAGTAGGTGTTCTAAAACTGACCGGTAGTGTATACCAAATATGTATAAAAACACTATCTTGGTCCAACTTTCTCTGCCTTTCCTTGCTTTTCTACAGCCAACATTTTTATCCTCAATTTATTTTTCATCAGTCAATTATGACTTTCCTCAATTTGCATGTGTGATTTGAAAGTACAACATGTTGTGTTTTGCCCATGTCATGTTGCTAAGATAATCACAGAACACGTTATACATTACAGTTGTTTGATGCAGGGGTCATCTTTGATAACAACAATTTAGAAGTATTTGACAAAGCAAAATAGTTATTTTCCTTGCCACAGAGCCATGCCTGACAAAACATCATTAGCTAAATAGAAAACACATTTTGATCAGTTTGAAATGTCCCTTGCACAGTTTGACAGCAGTAGCCTAGTTATAGGCTTTGACAGCAGATAATTAGGCTACTCCAAATGAGGTCAATGAACCAAAGCAGTTTCACAGAACACGAAAAAGTGTCCAAGAAGTTTTCCAATAACAAATAGCTCATGAAGCACGGCTGTGTGTGTGTTTCTCATAGTTGAGGCAGCTGAATGGATGCCTTTTGTCCTGCTGGCAGACACACTCTGCTCTGACTTCTTGTTTACCGGCTGGGGCTCTGAGGGGATTTCCTCTGTGTGGGGAAAAAATAACCCCCAAACCTACACCATCATAGAGGCTTTTTATCGAAACTGTTTTGAAGTGTTGTCAATGTGGCACATACCTTATGAGTAGGCACACACACACACACACACACACACACACACACACACACACACACACACACACACACACACACACACACA